CAAGGACAGATTTGCATGATTCTAGTACAACTTCAAACTTAGTGCTCAGGGATTGAGATGAGAGGGAGCTGGGAAATAAGAAGTGGTATATACAATTCTCTCTTGAGGACCCTGACATCTGCCTTGAGAAAAGATTCTAAGACAGAAGACACCTGAGTGGGAAACAAATTCAAAGTCAGGACTCTAAGCCATCTCCAGGCTAGGATCCACTTCCCTGTGTCTTGGGGAAATATTTTTGACTTGTGAGAAAGGGTCAAAAATATTTCCCACTGCATGTAGAGCCCATTGCATAATGAAGGCAGAAGGAAACAAAAGAAGTCCCTTATGAGGACAGAACGGTCTCCCTCTCAGAGGAAAGGGCCCAGAGGGCTTTGAGACAAAGAAACTCGAGGCTAAGCTCATTCAATGTTCTCAAGGTCACAGCATTGAGAGTAGGAAGAGGGGTATCATCTAACATTATAATATATATGTATATATTAAAGGTTTCCAACTCCTCATCTACTGTAAAGTGTCTGACAGTGAGGTAATGGTCCATGTTGATCAAGTCTGTGAGCTTGTCTTCACCCAAGACAGCTCATGTGTCTCCTGGAAAAAGGAGGCTCAGGGAGAAACAACTGGCCCTGCTGACCTATCATCACCCCAGAGAGCAGTAGGAGCATCCTTCCCCAGCCTAATGCTCATCTGGAGGGTGACATTTCATGCAGGCGAGAGGCCCCAGCCATATCCACCACCTGTTGCATAGCATCTGTCAGACTTTTCTCCAAAGCTAGTGGACTAGGTAGACCCCAGGGCTCCTCAGTCAGCTACCTGCCTAAGAAGCCAAAGGTGCTAGAGAAGACCCAGTGCTCCCATGGGTCAGGGGAAAGGGAGAGCTGGGGTTCTTGGTTTCCAAGAATGCAAGCCCCTATTGTGTGCAATGGCTGCAAAGCATCCTGAGATCTACTGTCTAGACATTCCTACTCATAACCAAAATGTGCAAATTACTAAAGGGGAAAGGGAAGGTTAAAATATAAACTCTGGCCCTGGCCAGTGCAGCTCACTTATTTGCAGCATTCTCCCATGAACCAAAAGGTCACTGGTTTGATTCCTGGTCAGGGCACATGTCTAGGTTGTGGGTTTGGTCCCTATCTGGGGTACATACACGCAAGGCAACCAATCAATGTTTCTCTCTCACATTGCTGTTTCTTTCCCTCTCTATCTATCGCCCCACCTTCCCCTCTTTCTAAAAATAATAATCATGTCCTCAAGTGAGGACACAATTTTTTTAATAAAAAATAAAACTTAAATTAAAAAATAAAATAAACTCATTGTAAGAAAGAGAAGTCAGGCTTTTTGGTCTGTTACTAGCTACTGAGGTATGCAATTCTTTTCTGCAGCTGCTGCTGCCGGGATCGGAGCTGCCTTTTCTCTGTAGCCAATCTCTTCTCAGCCCCAACCAGGGCTTGCACATATTCGAATGCCTTTCTCAGGATCACCACTTTGGGGGCCTTAGAACAGTCGGCCAGGGCAGGTATCTGGTTCCTCAGGGCCAAGAACCTCCAACGGAGATCATTTCGCCTTTTACGCTCCAAGAGGTTGTGTTTTTCCCTCTTGGTCACATCCTCAGTATCAGAACTGAGAGGTTTGGGGTGGCAGGACTGGGGAGCCTCACTTTCTATAGGTGGGGGGCTCACAACCTCTTCATGTATCTCATCCTCTGTCTCCTCTGGATCATCCATCTCCAGAGCCTCTTCTTGGGAACCTCTCTCTGGAGGTCCTCCCTGGGAGCAGCTTTCTGGAGGGAAACGAGCAGCATAGTTGTGTTGCTGCTGATGGACGGAGACGTGGAAGTGTTTCATGCACGGGTCCAAAGAGTCTGCTTGTACCATAATGGTAACCGGTTTCCGTACACCCAGGGGCTGTTTCTTCTTCACTGCCACAACACCAGTTTCTTCACCCTCCAAGTCACTAGGGCTCTCAGACCCCGAGCTGGCCTGGGTCTTAGGCTCGCCCACTGTACAGATGGCAGCAGGCACCGGGTTGTGGACTTCGAGGCTGGGAGTGCAGTCCGGGATACCAGGCACCTTGGATGGGTTCCCCCCCGGCACACCAGTGGCACCAGTGGTGAGACGGCTGCTCACCACTCTCTCCAGCCGTTCTAGGGCTGAGAAGCCACTCCACATGCAGTCACGGCGGATGATGGAGGCATAGTTTCTGCCCCAAACTTTTGAGGGTCCCCGGGATTCTACCTCATCCCCTATGCCCCCTCCAGGCCATGGCTCTGTGGAACCTATTCCAGGGGTCAGATCTCTGGTGCCAGGACCTGAGCCCCATGGTGACATAGGGGGTGATGGCACCAGTTCAAATTTCTTCCAGATGTCCTCACTGGGCAACGTGGAGCGGTAGAAATCTTCCCCACAGTCATAATCATAGCAATAGTGTTGGTATGAGTTGAACTCCACATCTGCTCCCTCACACCTACCACCTGCCCCAGAGAGCGGACCCACTTCAGGCCTCTGAATCACATTTTCAGTACCACCCTTTGGCTGCCGCCGACTTGCATGAGCTTCAGATTCTCGCAGAATACAATCCTGCTGAATACTTTTTTGTGGTGATGCCGTAATGTTAGGTTGTAAAATTAATGGCTGCTGCTGAATAGAGGCTTGTAAACAAGGCTTCTTCAAAAGTATAATCTGACTCTGTGGCACAGAAGAACCTGGAGTTATAGACTCCTGATGTGCCACTGGGTATGGCCGGCATACTGAGTGTATCTTTTGTGAAGGCTGATGGGCCCCTGAATGGCTCTCAATGGAACTAGAAAGGAGTTGTGCTGTACCAGCAGCATTCTGTGCACTGCTCACATATTGAGCAGAAGAATGATTTGACAGAGCTTGAGAGTGATTAACTGCTAAGAAATTAGAAGTCTGATTGGCATCTGGTGATTTGGTTAGTCCCTGATTCCAATTTCTAGGGCCAAGCTCAAGTTGAAGACCAACTGTCGTATGCTGGGAAGTAACATGTGAAGCAGGCAATGTATGAGGAGAAACTGCAGAAAAGACTGGTTGTGGAACTCCAGTAACAGGCAAGTCTAAAATCATAGGTTGGGATGAAGTTTGTCCATCTGCTCCAAAGCTCAGCTGTAGTTCCTGGTGCTGGTGCAAGGAAAATTTAAATTATGAATGCATAGAACAAGCCCATCGTAATGGGACTGTCCCAGACAAAATGATAGGTGAAATAATGCTATCTTCCAAAAGTTTTATCAAGTTACCAAAAAGACTCTGGGTATAACATTAATCCTATAAAAATCCCAATACCATGAGTATACTAGTTGAATATACTAATAAGCTGAGACCAGTGCTAGCAACACGCTATTCCCATTTATTACAACTGCCACATAAATCATTCGAAACCTGGCCAAGATTCAGAGTAACTGAACCTAACACCTTCACACGCCACACAGTGGAAGTTCCAAGAAAAGGCTCAAAAGAATTCAATATAAGAGCTAAAATGAACATAGAAGCTCTCTTAAGAGGAGAGAAAAAAAAGTAGGCTGAATAAATATAGGTTAGCTGTAGTGAGTCCTAGAACTTCAACCACTACACTAATAAAGAGACCCCAAAGGTGAAAGTGCTTTCTTATGTGGCTTCAGGTGAAATGGGCAGAGGCTACAAAATAGTATGTACGTGATGTTTGTGCTTAACAGAATTATGTTAAGAAACATAATTTTGAATTATGTTTCTATGTATACATAGAAAAAGATAAATCTAGAGGCTCTGTCAACGAAATGTAAAAAATAAATTGTCCCTAACTGGAGGGATAAGAGGTGATTTTTTACTGTCTTTTTTATAACTTTGTGAGCTTTATTTTTAAATAAGTAAATAACACTTTTAAAATAATTTTAAAATATTTTTAATTTTGGAAACACATTTTAAAGTGCACATACCTGTATACTTAAGTGGTTGAACCTAAGTTAATTTAAATATCCATTCAACACACTTTGCATTATAGTCTTAGAGCTGAATCAAACCGCAACATGAGCTCAGTTACAAATATGTACCATATCACCTACAAACACCATGAAATACCAGGCACTGTCAAGATATCAAATTAAATCGACCCCTGGCCGAGTTTAAATATATCAGGCATTTGTCAAATAAGTATATGCTTTCCCCTATAAGACTATAAGCTCCCTGAGAGCAAGGATAATTAATTTATTTTATTTTCCCAGAGATGGTAGTCATTAAGTTTACTGATGAACTGTGACAGACTATATATCAATCTCTTAAAAGAAACAGATGAACCAGCTGCTAACTAAGTCATGTACAGAGAATTCCTACAAGCTCAGACCATCTCATTCCCAAAAGCAGAAGGCACATGCACACAGGGGATGGTGAGGCTGAAGAAAGAAAATGAAGTGATGGCAAAGAAAAACCCAACCAAGTGTCCAGGGCCCATAACCTAGGGAGAACCAGGATATAGTTTTGATATACGAACTCTCACAAAGACTGTTTACTTAGTACCAGAAATGAGTAACACTGACTTTGAGATCTAAAAGACAAAAGCACTTATTTTGCCTACAGAAATAAATGTGAATCAAAAAGTCAAGAATTTATATGAAAGCGCTAAAATTGTAAGAGGCTATTAACAATACTATTTTTATTCTATAAAAGATATCCTTCCACACTCAAACCAGGTTGGGAAAGCCCAATATAAAGAATAAGCAATCATTACCACAAGAAAGACATCTAAGCCCTAAATAAAAATTTTTTATCCCATATACACAGTTCAGTTTGTTTTCCAATTATACAAGCAGTGTTTCAAGAGCCTAGTTACACAATGTTAGTTTAGGTACATCCTCAAGAAGAATGTCTTAGGTGAAGGAAAGCATAAACAACTTTTAGCTTTCAGTGACTTTTGTATAAACTCTGATGAATTTATGAAAGAAAGCCTTTGCCTGTCAGAAAGTCTAGGGAGTGTTAGATATATTTAACTGAATACAGAACCTCCAATGTGTATCTTACCTTTATCTGTGAGACCTTCTGGACAGTTAATGGGGACACCAGAGGTTGTGAGACAACTGGCGGTCCAAGGACATGTACAGGCAAAACAGTGGACTGACCTTGAGTCAAAGGCAAAATTTGGGGCTGAGTCAGCTTTGGCTGCTTCTGTAAATACAGTTAAATAAAGAAAAAAGATTAAAGATAAACTCTCCCATTTACAGTAAATATATTGATTATATATTAAAAAATGTAACAGCTCATCTCACCACTGAAACCTGCTGGCAATGTCCTACGAGCTGCTGGGATGGATAAATTTTCCCATGAACTTTTATTTCAGCCCGTGGGATGTTAGCAACCATTTGAGAACCCATCATTTGGTCTGAGGAATAGACTGTACTGGGCTGATTTGTATCTGAGTGTATAACTGATCCAGCTCCTACCTCGGACAAAGTGTCACCTACAAAAAAGGAAATAAGGAATAGGTAGATGTAAAAATATAAAGCACCAGGTCCAAATGGCACATGAAATAGTAAGTGTTTCTTTACTTTTTTATACTGACAACCTGAGACATCTTCAAATAAAATATGTACACTGCATAATTAATTAAAAACTATCATGTAAACTCTATGCTGACACTAAAGTATAACTAAAATTTTCTTAGTACAGCAAAAGCTAACAAAAACAAATCACATAAAAATCAACTCCATTTGCTGGCCATTTCACATATACCCCTAATCAATCTATATTTGGCATTAGGATTTCAGTAAAATATAAATATCATATTCTTTCTCATTCTCCTAGAACCTGGCTAGAAAATAATACTGTCTTATACAGCAATTAGTTATTACTATGAAAATACTACTTACTTCTAGAGAAGAGACTACATTGCAATAGAAAAAATTAGAGGAACTGTTAATTTTATACTGGAGTCCAAAAGACAAAAGATCTTTAAGTCTAAAATATTCCTTCTTGGGGAATAAACCAATATCTTGTAATTACTAATTTTATTTTTTAAAGGAATTTGGTAAAAATAAAACTATTATAATCCTTATGCCACTAGCATCCAATCCTTATGGACAAGTCACTTAACACAATTAAAGGAACTCAGTTTCTTAATTTAATTTTATTTTTTAAAGTTATTTTGTTTTTTAAAATAAAAAAAAGTTATTTTGTTTTTATTTTACTTAAAAAAATTATTTGTTTAATTTTAGAGAGAAGGGAGGGGAGGGAGAAAGAGACTGAGAGAAACATCAATGTGTGGTTGCCTCTCACTCACCCCATACTGTGCACCTGGCCAGCAACGCAGGCATGTGCCCTGACTGGGAATCAAACCAAAGACCTTTTGTTTTGGTTCACAGGCCAGTGCTCAATCCACTGAGCTATACCAGGGAAGGCAGTTTCTTAATTTTAAAATAAAACTAGCTGATCACTTCTCAGCCTTTTGGTTTTAAGATAAAGTGTAAAATAAAAACTAGCTAGCTGGTCTATTTCAAAGATTTTGTAAAAGGACTGATAAAAATCATAGATAACAGAATGCTTTAAAAAATACAAAGTACTATTTAAAAATAAGGGAACATAGTTACACACTATTGTTTTTATTAATTACAACTGTGTTACCTGTAACAGAGGAGCAGTGCTGCTGTGGTTTTCTTAGTAGAAGCTGTTGTCGAACTTGTTGATCGACTTCAGTTTCTTCACATTCAGCCACAGTGTGCTGGGCAGGAGTAGGGAGCAAAGTTGTATTCTGGAGTTGAGGGAGAACATTCCCCATAGACTTGCACCGAGAATCCCTGCGTTCTTCCAGCCAGCCAGCTGGCTTCTTCTCTCTTGTCTTCTTTATCAGGGTCACCCGGTCTCTAATGGACTTAGCAACAGCTTTGGAATCACTTTCATGGAAGAATCCTGACTTGACCTACGAACAAAACATAATGAGCAAACTACATCTTTAACATTTAAGATTTTAATAATGGAGTCTTTTTTTTTACTAATGGAGTTATTTTGTGCCCCCAAATTCCAAATGTTATTAAATAACAGTTAGTTTCTATGCTTTTCTTAATCAGACATGTGTAAATGTCAAAGACTTGAATGAGAATAAGAAAAATAATATCAACAAGAACTGCTGAAATAATTCTGGCCTTAAACAAAACAATCAAACTATTTGTGTGTCCTTTTATGAGCACATAATCTGGTCATGAGGGATGGATAGAAACTTAAAAGGAAATAAGAGGTAAAAAATGAGCATCTACAAAAGCCATAAAGGAGCACATGACTCTCTGGATAAAGTAGAGGAAGGTAAACTCTGACCTAGATTAAAACAAACAAACAAACAGAAAAAGGAACTTACATGCTATTGAGTATAGACATTTAGAGAGCAACACTATAGGCAGAAAGAAGTACGCTAACAGCAAAGTATTATAGCTTACAAAGGTGTTAGTGCAGTAAGAAGTAAGTTAAAAACTTGTTGTCTGAGAGAAATAGGGCTGAGTAGCAGAAAAGACGTGAGGAGGTGCCATGGCATATCATTCTCAGTCCTACTACAATCTGTTTTTTAAACCATGTCATGGGGGTCTGCAGACATGGGGAAATTTCATAGTAGTTGAAAAATTATTAAAATTTTAGGTGGACCCCTTACTGGTGCAGCTTGGTTGGGAGTTGTTCTACAAGGGGAGAGGTCACCCCTTCCATTCCCTGTCAGGGCACATGCCTGGGTTGCAGGTTCAGTCCCAGGATGGGGCACATACAACAGACCAACCGATGGAAGTTTCTCACATTGATGTTTCTCTCCCTGTATTTCTCCCTCCCTTACCCCATCTCTAAAAATAAAGTATTTTTTCAAAGCTCACTTTTCTTTAAAAAACAATGTTAGATGGAGTCCATATATTTAATTTCACTCCCTTCAAAAATGGCAGAAAAGAAACTCCATAGTAAATGTATTTTTAAGTTATAAACCCACAAGGACAGGGAGAATAAGTGTAAGACAACAACAATATTTTGGACTCTTTCAAACACAGAAGAAATTGAGTAAGTAAAAACTTACCTAGCAGACCTGGAAAAGGTCAATTAGAGAAAACTGATAATTATTCCCACATGCTAAACCATGATTATAAGACACAGGGATGGGTAGTTATCAAGTGCTTCCAAAAGTGGGTAAAGTCAAGGGATGACTAAAACAAGGAAGACTAAGTGAAAGGATTCTGAGAAGTAGATATTTAGTTCCCTGTATCCCACTCTCCATTCCACACCTTTCAATGATTGCTCCTCCCTACCAGGGAAGTCTAAAGTTTAGTTCTGTGGAGAGGATCTCTGGACTATGGAACACCAGGCACAGTAGAGGATATGGCTACCATGTGGAAAACAAAAATACGAAATGACCATACACATGTTGAATGCCAAATGCAGAAACTTCCAGCTCTCTTCCCCACTTGGCTACCAAAATATCAGGAATCAGATCATATCCCTCCAGGAAGGACACTGAAAGATGCCTCTCTAGGAAATCTGACCAATCCAAGAGGCAATTCAAATATTCATCAGAGATTCTCCAAATAATGGCCCATCCAGATACTCCACAGTAAAAGTCAAAGTTAGTAATTCTGACACAAGCAATCATATAGTCAATTGGCTTCTTAGTCTCTGTGGTAGGTGAAATTATGACCCCTAAAAGACATCCTATCCAAATACTTAAACCTGTAAATATGATGAGATATCACTGTACTATGAAAAGTTCACCTTAAGGTTGTGAGATTATTTGGGTTAGTCTTTTACCAGCTGGTGACACTAGAAGGATTTACATGCCATTGCTAACTTTGAAGATGAAGTAGGGGCATGTGAAAGAACTGAAGAACAGCCTTCCAGAGCCGAAAGTGACCCCTAGCTAACAGCCAGGAGGGAAATAGGGACCTCAGGGTTAAAACTGCATGAAATTACTGGAGAAGGTCAAAAGCAGATCCTCTACCAAAGCCTCCAAATCAGACACTAGGCAGCCAATAACGACTTCAGCCTGTGAAACCCCAGGCGGAGAATCCAGTGACGCCTATAAGGACTTCTAACCTACAGAACTGAGATGATAAATGAGTGTCACTTTAACCCACTAAGTTTCTGGTAATTTCTCTCACAGCAATAGAAAATTAATACAGTCTCCTGATTAATCATAAACAGCTGGCCAAGAATTACCAGAAACATGAGAAAAAGCCTGGAGCATAAAACTAACAGGAAAACATAGCGACCTGTAGAAAATGGACTGCGGGGAGAAAAAAATGTCTAAAATACTCCTTTTAAGAACATTATAAAAAAGATACAATCATACTGCATCCACAAAGCAAAGAACAAGGTGTTTTACTCTAAAAAAGAAACAGACAAGAAATAAAGGAACTCCAGAAATCAAAAACATGATAGCAGACATGAAAAACTCAATGGAAGGGTTAGAAGATAAAGGTGATAATATCTGCCAAAAAAGGAGAATAAAAAGACAAAACTGATGGAAATTAGAAAAGATAAGAAAATTAGAAAACCAGTTCAAGAGGTCCAACATCCATATAATAGCAGTCCCAGAAATAGAAAACAAATGGGAAGAAATCATCACTAAAATACTGCAAGAAATCTCCCAGAAACTTAAGACTATGAGTTAACAGATTATAAGGGTCCACTGAGTGTCCAATGCAGTAAAATGAAAACAGACCCAAATGAAGGCACATCACTGTGAAATTTTTTAAATACTGAGGAGAAAAAGAAGATTACAAGCTTTCAGAAAGGAAACAATGGATCACATGCAAAAGATCCAGAAAACAGGCCCTGGCTGGTGTAGCTCAGTGGCCCTGGCTGGTGTAGCTCAGTGATTGAGCACGGGCCTGCGAACCAGACAATCGCGGTTCGATTCCCAGTCAGGGCACATGCCCGGGTTGCAGACCAGTTCCCTGCAAGCCAGTTCCCAGCAGGGGACGCACGAAAGGCAACCATACATTGATGTTTCTCTCCCTCTCTTCTTCCCTTCCCCTCTAAAGATAAATAAATAAAATATTTAAAAAAAAAAAGATCCAGAAAACAGAACAACTCTGCACTTCTCAATACCAATACTGAAAGTTAGAAAAGCATGGATGGAGTAAAGACTCTAATTTTTTAATTGGAAACTAAAATGCCTTCAGCCAAATAATAAGTTAAAAATGAAGATAGAATAAAGAAATTTTTTTATACATGCAAGTCTCAAAGAATTTACCTACCACATACCATTTCTATAGAAGCTAACAAAGGAAGTCATGACTGGTATGGCTCAGGGGGTTGGGCGTTGACCCGCGAACCGATAGCTCACTGGACAGGGCACACGCCTGGGCTGCTGAGCAATCCCCGGTTGGGGGGCGTGGAAGAAGCAACCAATCGATGTTTCTCTCACACATCAATGTTATTCTTTCTCTCTTTCTCCCTCCCTTCCCCTATCTCTCTAAAAATAAATAAATAAAATCTTTTTTTTAAAGAAGCTAACATAGGAAGTACAACACTAAAACAAAAGAGTAAGCCAAGAAAGAGAAAAACATGGAATTTAGGAAATACTAAGTCCAATACAGGAGAGGCAGAGGAGTCTATGAAGACAATGAAGGAAAATACCAAGTTGATAGTTATACACCAGATGTCGAAGATAATCATTCCAGATTAGAAGAGTGAGACTACAAAGACAGACATTTTAAAGACTTCCATTTCCAAGATGCCCGCTGTCATCATCCAATTTTTCCTTTTAACCTCAGGACAGAATTCCCAGGTGAGCCTGCTTCACTGTGCCTGTACTGGGCTCAACTTGACCACGTGCTAACGAAGCTCCTGTAAGCCCTCCCTTTAAGCGCTGCCGCAGCCTGGATCAGGGTGGATACGCATTCCACCCCACAGAAGTTATCTGCTGCCATCTACTCTTGGGGGAGAGTGGGTCATGGGGAGGTTAGAAGAAGTCAGAGGGGCCGGCTCCCTGTCAAACCGTTCTGCTACCAGACAACTCATCTCTGGTCCACACAGCAGCCCCGCCGATGCACTGACTATGGGAACCAGGTGTTTCATTCCCTAGACTCGCACATGACCTCACCCACTGACTTCCTCAGAAGCACCTCTTCCAAACCCTTCCGGAAGATGAAGTCAGTCTGTGACTGAGACTCTGTTCAGCTCATTCTATCCTGGGTATCTTCACCTAAGAGTAACTTCAGTAACTAACAGGGTGTGTCCTTGTCACTCAGGTTTTCGAAAGAAAACAACGTACTTAGGAAAACTACAATGAAAAGTAAAGGAATGAGTAACAAAAAAGTCAGATTAGACATTGCCTGTGGTGATGAGGGAGGGGAATACAACTGGGAAGGGCACACAGGAGGATTCTAACATACCAACTGCGCTCTATTTCTATGTTTCCTTTTTAGTGAAGTTATTGGGGTGACACTGGTTAACAAAATTATACATACTTCAGGTGCACAATTCTATGCATTCTATTTCTTAACAAAAGTAGTGTATTGTCAGTCTGTACACAGTACACAGAAATTTAATATACTCTCCTGTAGAGACACATTTCATAGTAAAATATCAAATGAAATAATGAAAAGGAGAAAATAAAAAGCACTGACAAAGAACAAGAAAGTCAATCCTGATATATAGGGGCAGGGAAATAAAAGTAGAATTCACTTACCATTTCATATGCTACTTCTTCAGGTGTATCCGTTTCTAAATTAAAACTGAATTCAATAGCTTCATTGTCTTTGTGCTTGCCTTTCAATTTTTTAGGGTCTTCCACCCAGAGTCTTAAAGCCAGGGATGAATTTGAGCAATCATCTTCCTCTGCTAACTCCACCCTCAGTCCGGTATCCTCAGCAAAAAATGTGTGGTTTAGTAGGTTCCTGATAGACAACCTAATAAACAAAACACCTATCTCATTATCAATTCTTCCAATCATAAGCAAGATAGAGAACCTTTAAAATTCATTCTATCAAAGTAAAAGTCTTATTTTTAAATATACTTTATTGATTATGCTATTACATTTGACCCATTTCCTCCCTTTATTAGCCTCCATCCTGCACACCCCCTACCAGCCATATTCCCCCCTTCATTCATGGCCATGGGTTGTACATATAAGTTTTTGGCTACCCCATTTCCTATATTATTCTTAACAACCCCCCATCTATTTTGAACCTATTATTTATGTTTATTCCCTGTACCTTTTTCCCCCTCTCTGCCCCTCCTACTCTTTGGCTGATAACCCTCCATGTGATCTCCATTTCTGTGATTCTGTTCCTGTTCTAGCTGTTTGCTTAGTTTGTTTTTGTGTTTGTGTTGTTTAGGTTCACTTGTTAATAGTTGGGAGTTTGATGTCATTTTATAGTTCACATTTTTTATCTTCTTTTTCTTAGATAGGTCCCTTCAACATTTCATATAATAAGGGCTTGGTGATGATGAACTCCTTTAACTTGACCTTAGGTGGGAAGCACTTATCTGCCCTTCCATTCTAAATGATAGCTTTGCTGGATAGAGTCATCTTGGATGTAGTCCCTTCCCTTTCATGACTTAGAATACTTTTTTCCAGCTGCTTCTTGCTAGTAAGGTATCTCTGGAAAAATCACCCTATAGTCTTATGGGAACTCCTTTGTAGGTGACTGTCTCCTTTCCTCTTGCTGCTCTTAAGATTCTCTCCTTCTCTTTAATCTTGGCTAATGTAGTTATGATGTGCCTTGGTGTGTTCCTCCTTGGGTCCCACTTCTTTGGGAATCTCTGAGCTTCCTGGACTTCTTGGAAGTCTATTTCCTTTGTCAGATTAGGGAAGTTCTCCATTTTTTTTTTCATGGAAGTTTTCAATGTCTTGCTCTTCCTCTTCTCCTACTGGCACCCCTATGATTCCGATGTTGGAATGTTTATAAAGTTGTCCTGGAGGTTCCTATGTCTCTCCTCATTTTTTCGATTTCTTGTTTTTTCATTATCTTCTGGTTGAATGTTTATTTCTTCCTTCTGGTCCAAACCATTGACTTTTGAGTCCTGGTTTGCTTCCCTTCACTGTTAGTTCCCTGTATATTTTCCTTTATTTCACTTTTCATACCCTTCCTTTTTTTCCTCTATTCTGCCACTGTATTCAACCAATTCTGTGAGCATCCAGATTACCAGTGTATTGAACATGCAGAGATGTTCAACCTATCACAGTTCAATCATCTGGTAGGTTTACTATCTCTTAGTTGTTCAGTTGTATTTTTTCTGGAGCTTTGATCTGTTCTTTCATTTGGGCCTTTTTTTTTTTTGGTCTCAGCATGCCTGTTACCTAGTAAGGGACAGAGACTTAGGTGTTCACCAGGATGGTGGAACCAACATTGCTTTGTTGTGGTGCTACACGTGGGGAAGGAGTCTGAGAGGGGGCAGGGCTGCTTCCTCCACTCTCTACAGAATTTCAATCAGTTCCCCACTACCCGTAAGCAGATTGGGCCCTTCCGGTGCTGATTCTCCGGTGGATGGCAAACCAGGTGGATGGCCCTGTGGGTCTCTCCAATGAACTGTCCTCTGAGGCTGGAAGTTTCTCCCACTGCCTCAACCCTCACAGGTTTTATCAGTAAGAGGTTTTGAGGCTTTATTTCCCCACATACAACCCTGGGTTTCACAGTTTGTCTCACTCCCCAGTTGTTCCTCCTGATTTATTTACACTCAAATGTGGGACTGCTAGGACCACCAGCTCCACCAGTGGCCACCTTGCCAAGACTACTCTCCACCCCTCCTACCGATCGGGATGAATATTTCTTCTTTAAATCCTTGGTTGTCGTTCTTCCACACAGTTTAGCTTTCTGTCAGTTCTGGTGGTTTTTTCATTTTAAATTTGTTGTCCTTCTTTTGGTTGTGCAAGGAGGCACAGTGTGTCTTCCAACACCTCTGTAGTGGCTGGAAGTCAAAAGTCTTATTATTTTAAAGATACTTTATGGATTATGCTTTTACAGTTTCCCAGATATTTTCTCCCTTTATCCTCCCTCTAGCCTGCACACCCCAACCCTCCACCATCACCCCACTTAGATCATGTCCATGGCTTGTACATATAAGTTCTTTGACTTCTGTTTCCTACACCATTCTAAACCTTTCCCATCTATTTTATGCCTGCCAATTATGCTTCTTATTCCCTATACCTTCCCTCCATTCTTTCCCTCCTCCTACCCACTGAAAACCCTCCATGTGATCTTCATTTCTGTGATTCTATTCCTGCTTTAGTTGTTTGCTTAGTTTTTATTTTCATTTTTTTATGTTCAGTTGTTGATAGCTGTGAGTTTGTTATTTCACTGTTCATAGTCTTTGATTATCTTCTATTCCTTAGATAAGTCCCTTTAACATTTTATATAATGAAAGCTTGGTGATGATGAACTCCTTTAACTGGACCTTAGGTGGAAAACACTTCATCTGCCCTTCCATTCTAAATGAAAGCTTTGCTGGATAGAGTCATCTTGGATGTAGGTCCTTGCTTTTCATGGGTTGGAATACTTCTTTCCACCCCTTTCTTGCCTGCAAGGTTTCTTTTGACAAATCAGCTGATAGTCTCATGGGAACTCCTTTGTAGGTGACTGTACCCTTATCTCTTGCTGCTTTTAAGATTCTATCTTTATCGTTAATATTGGGTAACTTAACGATGATGTACCATGGTGTGTTCCTCATTGGGTCCAATTTCTTTGAGACTCTCTCTGGGCTTCCTGGACTTCCTGGAAGTCTATTTCCTTTGCTAGGTTGGGTAAGTTTTCCTTTATTATTTGTTCAAATAAGTTTTCAAGTTGTTGCTTTTGTTCTTCTCCTTCTGGCAACCCTAATGAATCTGATGTTAGAGTTTTTAACATTGTCCCAGATGTTCCTAAGCCTCTCCTCATGTTTTTGAATTCTTGTTTCTTCATTCTGTTCCGCTTGGATGTTTCTTTCTTTTGTTCCAAATTGTTGGTTTGAGTCCCGGTTTCCTCCCCTTTATTGTTGATTCCCTGTATATTTTGCTTTGTTTCACTTAGGGAAGCCTTCATTTTGCAACCAAGCTCAATTAGTTCTGCGAACATTCTGATTAGCAGTGTTTTGAACTCTGCATCAGATAAGTTGGGTATCTCCTTGTCACTTAGCTCTTTTTCTGGAGTTTGGATATGTCCTTTCATTTAAGGCTGTATTTGTTTGTCTTGGTGTACCTGTTATGTTATAAGGTGACAGGGCCTTAGGTACTCCTCTGGGTAGAACAGCCCTCTTTGCTCAGTTGTGGTGCTCTTTGTGAGGGAGATGTAACAGAGGGAACAATGTAACTCCCTTGCTTTAGCCCCACTTTCCAACGAACTCTCTCATGTAAGACAGTTTCTCCCACCATGGTATCCCCCACAGTAGTTTATAGCTAGCTCTGACTCTTTAGTTCCCAGTCAGACAGCCCTGCAATGCCCGCACAGTCCTCCTCCTTGCCATGAGTTCTCTCCCATTAGCTCTTGGGTCTGCCCCTCCTACTGGTTTAGATGAATGTTTCTTCAATTCCTTGGCTGTTGGAATTCCATGCAATTTGATTTTCTGGCACTTCTGGTCGTTTATTGCTTTTAGATTGGTTGTTATCCTTCTTTCGGTTGTATGAGGAAGTAAAGCATTTCTACGTATGCCTCCATCGTGGCTGGAACTCTGAAAATTTTACTTTCAAATTTCTATTAATTCAATGGCCCCAACTAGTATGTCTCAGAGGGTTGAGTGCCGGACTGAGAACCAAAGGATCACAGTGTGATTCCTAGTCAGGGCACATGCCAGGATTGCAGGCCAGGGCCCCAGTAAGGGGTGTACAAGAGGCAACCACACATTTATGTTTCTATTCATCCCTTCCCCTTTCCAAAAATAAATAAATAATTTTAAAAATAAATTTTAATTAATTAAACCGTTATTCTTGTTTGTCATAAAAACAAAATATTGTATCTAACTTATTATTATCAAGGGTGCAAAAATATCCCCCTAACATGCATTTGTAGTGACATTAATTAAAGATTACTAGTAGTAATATATCTAGATACTGAAGTTTAACATACCTAAAAGTATGCCTAAAGAGAGTTAGAGAAGTGCTTCAGTACATGTTACATGGAGTGAGTAATTTCCCTAAACCACTGGCTTAAGTTACTAAGAGTCAAACAATAGATTCTGTGCAAAGGAAATGGAAAACTTTTCCCAGCTACGTAAACTCAAAGTTAGTAAATGTTACAAATCGAACTCAAAGACTTCATTAGAAATAATCTAGTCCAGAGATGTCAAACTCATTTTGACCGGGGACACATCAGCCTTGCAGTTGCATTCAAAGGGCCGAATATAATTTCAACTCCTTAACAGTTAAGGAGTAGTTACATTTATACAGTTCTGAAATTATTTTTGCCCTTTGAAGTTAACTGTGAGGCTGATGTGGCCCCCAGTGAAAATGAGTTTGACACCCCTGATGTAGTCACTATTTGTCACTTTTTGGAGAGTGCCATGGGTGAAGCTAATTTATAATTTAGTTCAGCAAAGTCCCATGGTTTTCTTAAAGTATTTATGTCTAGTGTTTTAGTCCAAAGTACACATGAAGTGGATACAGGACTATCCTAATATAGATTAACCATCTCTGAAGAGAAGAAAGTACAGGGGTTCAAAAGATTCTTTTACAAGCTGGGGCAGTTAATTTCCTTTTCTTTAACCAACTTCTAAAACAGATATATAATATCTAACCTGTCTGTATTACAGACTAGGGAGAACAAAAATGATGTATTCCATAACGTCTATGTAGAAAGCCCCTCCCATTTAATTTATAACAGATAATACATGTCATCCTGTAAGTTAAGGATTTAAACTCTCCATATTTTTAGTGATCAAGAGACAAATACTTAACCTAGACAATATTATAAAAAAGAATAATTTTGTTCAGACTAATTAGTTTTAAGGTTAAGGTGAAATGTGTTTAAGACACAACCAAGTTAAGCCCTCTGACTCACAATAAAAATTTTACCAAAGTATTTTACTAAGGAATAATTATAGCAATAACCAAAGATACCGTCCATTAAATACTTATTACTCTGTTAGGTGTTTTATATGCACTCATTATCTTTTTAACCATAAAAATAACACCCTCTTTGAGTAACAGTTAAGTAACTTGTTCAATATCATACTGGCTAAGTGAGTCCAGATGTCAATCTTACTCTTACATTGAAGCCTGACCATTTTCCAATAAACTAATATGGCATGAATGCTGTTCAATATTCCAGTGGTCTTCAGTAATAAATCACAATTAGTGATGAGACTGTATAAACAACAGTAAGAATCCCAACTGAAATGGCTACTTCAACATAGTATTTTTACTCTTGCTTAAAAAAAGCATGCCTAGCCCTGACTGGTGTGGCTCACAGTGGATTGAGCGGCGGCCTGCAAACCAAGGGGTTGCCAGTTTGATTCCCAGTGGGGCATATACCCAGATTGCAAGGCCAGGTCCCCAGTGGGGGACGCATGGGGACCAAACACAGATTGGTGTTTCTCTTCCTTTCTTTCTCCTCTAAAAATAAATAAAATCTTTTTTAAAAAAGCATGCCTAAACTCCTACAACTCAAAAATAAATGAAACAATTTTTAAAGGGAAAAGGATTTGAACAGACATTTTTCAAAGATATACAAATGGCCAATAACTACATGAAAATATACTCAACATCATTAGTCATTAGGGAAATGCAAATCAAAACCACAAGAAGATACCACTTCACACCCATTAGCATGGCTATTACCAAAAAACAAAAAAAGAAAGAAAGAAAAAGAAAATAACAAGCATTGGTGAGGATGTTGAGAAATTGCAACCTTCCTATATTGCTGGAAGGAATACAAAATGGTACAGCCACTGTGGGAAAAGTTTGGTGGTTCTTCAAAAGTTTAAAACATAGTATTACCATATGAGTCAGTCATCTGACTCCTAGGTAGATACTAAAAAGAATGTAAAGCAGCAATTCAAGCAAATGTTTGTATACCAATTTTCATAGAGAATTATTCATGATTGACAAAAGGCAGAAATAACTCAAGTATCCATCAACAAATAAATAAACAAACAAAATGTGATATGTGTAACGTTCAGCCTTAAAAGGGAAATTCTGATACACACTACAACATGGATCAACCTTGAAAACTATGCTAAGTGAAATAACCCAGGCACAAAAGGAAAAATATTGTGTGATTCCACTTCTATGAGGTACCTAAAATAAGCAAATTTATAGAGACAGAGAGTAGAATAGAGGTTACCAAGGGTTGATGGAAAGAGGGAATAAGGAGTTGTTAAATGGGTACAGAGTTTCTGTTTGAGATGATGAAAAAGTTCTGGAAATAGATAGTAGTGACAGTTTTACTGTGAAAGTACTTAATGCCACTGAATTGTAGCACATAAAAAAGACTAAAATGATAAATCTTATGCTATATAAATTTTACAGTAATGAAAACAAATATATACCTAGATATACCCTTTTGATACAAACATTAAGAATGTTCTATAATGAAGCTATAATTAAACAGGCCTTACCTTAGTGGCTTTATGTATTCTCAGAATAAGCAACACTAAACTCAGAAAAATAACAAAAATAGGAGACAGTCAATCAAATGCTGCTGGAAATAATTTCTATAAAGGACCTGTCACCTTTATTAATCATAATCAATAGGAAGGTAAAAATCAAATGACTAATCCTTCAACTTGTCAGTACCTGTCCAAAGTTCAAGTTAAAGGGAAATACAAGATAAAACTCAAATAATTTTTCCATAAGAAAAACATGAATTGTGATACAAATTATCTAGAATACTAATTCTTGAACAAAAAACAGCACTATGAACTTTACCATCATAATGCAAGGACATATGGTCAAATAAAAACAAACATCTGGTGAGTTGATTACTTCTTTTAACTATCATAAAAACCATGTAAGTACTTACCTGGAGGTGACACTACAGAAATTCTCTACTTCATCAATTGTTAGAAGGAAGTTAACCTGGGTGGAAGGGGCCCACTGTCTTAATCTGATGCCTCAAGGTGATGAAAGCTTGTCACAAAACACAGACAAACACAACCCAAATTTTGCTTCAAGGAAAATTCAGCACATGATAGCAAAGTCTAAAATGGCAAACAAATTGCACCAATACAGTATACTAAAGTCAGTATGGTTTGTTTTCTACTCAAAAATCACCCCAAGCATATTTTAAAGGTGAAAAAATGACCCAGTGCAAAATAAGAGAAAAAATGCATCTATCAGTTACATCACTTCAATACACTTGCACCCACCTTTCAGATTTGTTTTGACGAATACAACCTTCAATGATTTCTTTCACTTCAGGATCAGTGACTTTATTGAAACTGGCTGGTTTTATGCCCTAGGAAGAGAAAAATGTTTTCTAGTCACATATTAAGCAACAGAAAGCCCAAATGAACATGACATTTATTAAAATAATGATTTTTTCCATTAAACCATATTTGAGTTTTAAATGAGATAAACATATATAGTCTAAGTTTAACAACTTTTTTGACAAGAATTTTGTCATAGTTCTACAAATAACAGTGAAAAGTGTAAATAATCTAAAATCAACACAGTAAAATTGACATGTTATGTAATACATACACTAATAATAAACAGAAACTAAAAGTGTTCTCAAAGTAATTAATAACATAGAGAATTCTCACAGTGCAACATTAAGTAGGGAAAAAACAGGATTCCAAAATGTATATACAGTATAACCCCAATTAGCAAAATATAATAAACAAGTATTCATTGAAATCAGAAAAAAAAATCAATGTTATTTAAAAACTTTTTTTACCTTCACCTGAGGACATTTTCATTTGCTTTTTTAAGATTTTATTTATTTGCCCTGGCTGGCGTAGCTCAGTGGATTGAGCGCGGGCCTGTGAACCAGACAATCGCGGTTCGATTCCCAGTCAGGGTACATGCCTGGGTTGCAGGCAGGTTCCCTGCAGGCCAGTTCCCCGCAAGGGATGCAGGAGAGGCAACCATACATTGATATTTCTCTCCCTCTCTTCTTCCCTTCCCCTCTAAAGATAAATAAATAAAATATTTTTAAAAAACCAAAAAAACTTTACAACGATTAAAAAAAAGATTTTATTTATTTGCAGAGAGAGGGGAAGGGAGTGAAAAAGAAAGAGAGAGAAGCATCAATGTGTGGTTGCCTCTCACATGCCCCCAAACTGGGGACCTAGTGCACAACCCTGTCATGCGCTGACTGGAAATCAAACCAGCAACTCTTTTGTTCGCAGGCCAGCACTCAATCCACTGAGCCATACCAGCCAGGGCTTCATTTGCTTTATTAGAGAGAGAGAAGAGGGGAGAGAGACACACGCACGCACCCACATTCATATAAGAGAAGTATCAACTGGTTGTCTTTGCACACACCCAGACCCAGGATCCACGCTAGGACCAGGGACCAAAAGCATCTCTACCAGGGTCGCACACACCTGCGCCTGCACCAGAGCCTGAACCTGGAATGAACCCGCAACCCAGGTACATGCGCCAACTGCGAATCCAACCACAACTGTTCAGCTATGGGATGATGCTCCACTGAGCCACAAAGGGCCAGAGCCATTAAAAAATTTTTGAAAATTCCTAAGAAGTTTCTCTATTGCAAACATTCTAAATATTATTTCAAAGTCTTTTAGAATGGCTAGAAGAAATGAACAAATTGATTTGCTAAAGAAACTCGGTCATCAGTCCTATAGAATATCCCATATTCTGAACATCAGCCTTATTTCTTATGTCTTTCTACCCAAACCTCTGGAGTCAGACTTGGGGTCAAAATCTACCATTACCAGTAGCTATGTGAACTTGGATAAGTCACAACCTCTAATTTTCAGTCCCATCATTTGTAAACTGAACATACCACCATCTTGCAAGGATATAAAAATGAAAGCATGCAGCATATAGCATACATTTAAAAACAGTACCTCTTAGTATTAGTTACCTGAAATACTCTAACAGTCTCTTCTCCAGCCTATCTGAGCCACCCAATTGGATATGAAGGAAACCTCTTTTGAATAATCCTGGCATTTCCCTTCTTTCTCCCTCATGTCCCTTACAATACTCCCATCCTCTTATTATTTGTGTGCTTATTTGTGAATTTACATTACTGTCTTACTAAAAATGTAAGCTCTTTGGGGTAGCAAACACTGCTTTATTCGTCCATGCATTCCTTGCAATTTCTAAAAAAATTACTCATAGCAAGAATCAAGCCCTGGCTGGTGTAGCTCAGTGGATTGAGCACAAGCCTGCGAACCAGAGAATTGTGGTTCAATTCCCAGTCAGGGCACATGCCTGGGTTGCAAGCCAGTTCCCTGTAGGCCAGTTTCCAGCAGGGGGCGCACGAAAGGCAACCATACATTGATGTTTCTCCCTCTCTCCTTCCCCTCTAAAGATAAATAAACAAATAAAATCTTTAAAAAAATCAAACACTGTATCTGTTGAACTATAGTTTGAATGCCCTTTCACAGTTAGGTTTTTAGAAGTAAAAGAAACCTTCAAACCATTTAGCCAATCTTTATTATTCAAATTTGGAAAATGAGACCCATCTAATAAATATATAAAATTTCTTTACAAACAAATGCATATGTATGATATCTCTGTTTTCCCAAAGATACCAATACAGAGCATTTTACATGACCCCAGTAGAGTATATGTATGTACTAGATAGCATAATCTAAAGCTTGTTTCATTACAATTATGTTAAATTTAGCACTGTTAAACAAAACTAAACCAAAATTGGGTTTTACTAAGTTGACTTAAACCAACTTCAAAATGAAATATGGCAATTTGTGGAGTAAAAAGAGTAAAGGTATACCTACACTAGTTACTTTACGGTATATTTGAGCTGCATTTTGGCACTCAGAGTAAGGGTACTCCGAAGTTGCCATTTCCAGCATACACATTCCGAAAGCATAGACATCTACAGATTCATCATAGTGCTCTTCATACATCTCTGGGGCCATAAACTCAGGAGTCCCTATAAAATAACAACACAACCATGTTTTGTTAAAAAGAAAACTGTATTCACCAAGATTACTTTCCCTTTGTGATAAGGATTACCTACGTTAATTTCTACTTCCTAAAAGAAATTTTAAAATATAACATTTGCTATTATCTAATATAAAGCACTTAAAGAATTTCCTTAACTTTCCACACTGATAAAGTACAATGAATAATGTTCAAGATTAGGTAACGACCACTAACATGTTTTTATTTCTATCCTTTTTTTTTTTAGATACTGAAAACTTTTCATGATTAGTAAATTTTCTTTCTTAAATCCTCAGAAACTTTCAATAATCTTAAATATATTCCACAGAAAATACACGAGGATGTCTCCAAAATAAGACAATATGTAATAGATATTTCAAAGCAAATTTACATTCCATGTCAGGGATCAGCAAACTTCTCTGTAAAGGGCCAGATGGTAAATATTTCAGGCTCTGCCATCCATATGTTCTTTGTCACAACTATTCAACTCTGCCATTATAGTACAAAAGCAGCTGTAAACATTACATAAGTAGGTATTGCTGTGTTCCAATAAAGTCTTATTTACAAAAATAGGCAGCAGGGCCAGATTTGGCCATGGGTTATAGTCTGTGCTCCCTGTTCTAGACGTGTACAATGAACAACTCTCTTTAGTCAACTAATAAACCATAAAATGTTAATCACCAATGACACTCTTAGCAAATGATGTGCGCATTAAGGTGGCTAGGCCTAGATCACCAATCTTCACAGATCCAGTAGGTCCCGTGATGAAAATATTGTCACACTTCAGATCCCGGTGAATAATAGGTGGAGTCCTAGTGTGCAAGAACTGCAACCCCTTTAAAATTTGCCTGCACCAGCTCCTTAGGACCTTTGGTTTCATGACTTTAAATCGTTTTAAGTACCTACATAAAGAAAAAAAGACGTATTAATAAAAATACCTAACTTACTATATGATCACTATGAGGGTAAATCATTTAAGCTAGCAGATACTGTGTATGCTATACTATGACTGCATCACTAACTTGTTTTTTTATTGTCTGTTATAGCAAGAAAACTTGAAATCTAAAAATTCATTCTTTCAGAAGACAACCTACCAAGTTTAGCATTTTTAATTCAAAACAAGAATCATTCCAATCAGAGTGGCCTTTTGTGAAATGGCAGCACAATTTAAAAAGCCCTTCTCTACTTCCTAATACAAAGTCAGCAGAGGGTTTAACTGTATAAAATTTTAGTGTAAAGATGGCAGAAAACACAAAATGTATACCCCACATTTAATAGTTAGAAGTGATTATACCATCAAATGAAAAGCTGTTGTCAGAAACAAAACAGACTACATATATGTGAACCTAACCACACCTTTCCAGTGTCATTTACAAAATGACGTTACATTTTCTCTATAATAACTTCTAATTCTAAAATCCTATGATATCCCAGAAATATTAATTTATAAACATTGTATTTTCTTTTTAAATTGATTTTACAGAGAGGGAAGGGAAGGAGGGAGAAAGGGAGAGAGACAAAGAGAGAGACATCAGTTTGCTGTTCCACCTATCTATGCATTCATTGCTTGCTTCTCGTATATGCCCTGATCTGAGAGGAGATCTAACCTGCAGCCTTAGTGTTATCAGGACAATGCTCTAACCAACTGAGCTACTCGGCCAGGGCCTCAACATTGTATTTTCTAGCAAACTTTAGTGACATCCTAATTTTTTAAATTAATTTTATTTAGTTATTTTTCAAGTACAGTTTTTTGTCTATTTCAGTAACATCCTAATTTTTTAACCTGCCCTGAAATAAAGTCACTAGATTCAGGATCCTACAAATCCTTTAATCAAGTCGTGTCACTTTACAAGCAACTTTTATGACTACTGAAAATTATTTCCAGAAAGAACTCACTAGCAAGCAATATCAGGGTGAACTTACGTCTTTAATGTTCCTGATGTCATAAGTTCAGTCACTAATACAATGCATTTCTTTCCTTTTAATATAGACTCCCAGGAGTCATAAAATCGAACTATATTGGGATGTTGGAGACCCTTTAACATCTCTGCTTCTTCCTTGAACCTTTGCTGCTCAGCTTTGGTTAATTTCCGGTCCTGAAATGGAAAAAGTTCCAGATTAAAGGATAGAAATTCTCATGCACATTTCTAATGCCACTAAAATGAGTGCTTTTCTAAGTTGTATTTATTTACACCTGCCAATTCTTTTCTCAGGACCTATGTAATCACCTGACAGCCTTTGTTAGTTACTCCGACTGCTTCCATACAGCAATGCAGCATTTCTACATTTTGTAACTGTGTTATAAACCTACCTACATAATAAATCAATATCTTCAAAAACATCGTGGAAGTTAACTTTTTCTGGGAATAATTTTGATAAATATATTAAATCATTATATTGTGTATTTCAAACTTATGCATTGTTCTATGTCAATTATATCTCAATGAAACTGGAAAAAAAAAGGAAATTTCCATTGCAGTCAAGGAACATGTATAAAAAACCCATGGACAAAGGCAATGAGAGGTGGATAAAGCAGGGGAAAGTAATGGGGGCAACTGTAATTGAACTATAAAAAAATAAAAAATAAAAAATAAAATCATTATCTAAAAATGAGAAAAAGTAATAATCAACACAAATAATATGAAAGGTTCCTTAAGAAACCTCAATTTCCACATTTAAAGGATCTATGTCAGGACAGGAATAATCAAATGTTAGACACCTAAACATTTATTGTGCTCAAATATATTAATTGCCAACATATTTCCAAACAGAAATGTAAAGTTACCAACCAACAGAAGACCTTTTAAGAGGATTTGGACCTCTAATCTTCTATATTAAATATTAGAAGTTAAAAGAGTAATGTTTGAATGAATGTTACTACAATAGATTCAATTTTAAAATTTCAATTTGAAATAAGAGTAATGTTTACAGAATTTTGAGGTGAAGACTAAAATTCTGAACCCAAATAAGCTATCAATCAAGTTTATAATGGAAAACTAAACACATTTCTATGAAAACCAGGATACAGAAAGTATAGAACAGCACAAACACTTTCTAAAAATAAGTCAAATAATTTCAGTTAAAATGTTGCCAAATAAAGTCACCAGAGAAGGGTGTGGCATACAAAAACTAGTAATACAATGTTTCCAAGAATGCTTACTTAGAATTTAGTCTAAGTAACTGGGGCTCAAGTGGTTGGTAAGTTTCAGTGAACTTTCTAAACAGGAATTAAAACAGAAGATATATAATGCAAAGAAAACAGTCTGGAATTGAAATTCCACATTACTTCATTAAAATACAATACACAAGGAACAAAAAAAAAATTCCATTCTGCAAAGGGGAGCAGGAGGAGAGGGGAGTGATGATAGAACTATTTTAAGTTTTGATGTTGATATACAGTCAAGTACACCAGTTAAAAATTTAGGTACGGTTTCCATTTCAAGATGGTTGACAACATATTAATTCCCCTACTTTCCTAAATCCCACCAAAAATGACAAAAGAAATATATAAATAAATCCGCAGTAACAATAAAATAGGAGTTCAAACAAAAGATTTTTTAAGGTAAAGATATATATATACCTTGATAAAATATATTTATGAAACTCAAGAGTAGAAGAAATAGCAACTTGACAAAGGCTAAAGACTTCTGTTAGAGTTTTTCTTTGTTAAGACATCATAATAACCTTTACAAAGCAGCATAACAGACCTCTGGCAATTTTAGTTTTGGTTATGAGGAAATATGTAAAAGAATATTCAGTGCAGCATGGTTTGTAATTGTGGAAACTTAGAAACAACCAAAATATCAATAATAAAGTTTATTACATGCCAGGCACCATTCAGTTCTGTACATGCAGTATTTTACCTAAATGGTTTATCAGTTGTGCTACCACCACTTAAAACTATTCTTTTCCCACTGGTTTAAAGAACATGATTTTTTGCATATTAACCTTCCACCTATATTGGGTTTTGCGTCCTCCCACGAATCTGTCTACTCCAGGGCCTTTCAGTAGGTTTAATAATTGGTCAGGCAAGCAAATTTCCTATTTTTCATTATTTTATTGGCTATTCTTATCTATTTATATTTAATACAAACATTAAAATCCTTTTTCCAATTAAAATAAAACAAAATACTTTGCAACCTTAACTTTACATATATATAAATTTGGAGAAAAGTAGCTATCTAAGAACCTGGAATACATCTTTCTATTTGTCCAGTTTCAGTAAGATTTTTCATACAGGCAGGGACAGAGAGCAATGAGCTGCTACTTTCTCAACTTCTTTTCTCCTGAGCCTCATATTTAATTTTTCTTTATTTTAAAATTTATATTTAGTAAAATTGACTTTTTGTGGTACAGTTCCATAAGTTTCAACAAATTTATAAAGTCATGTAACCACTGCCACAATGAAAATACCAAACAGTTCCTCCATCCCTTTATAGTCAAACCCAGTCCTCACGCGTACACCCTGGAAAATAGTTCCTCCTTTTACCTTTTCCAGAAAGTGTTATAAATGGGGAAGAGTGAGTGTGTGTGTGTGTGTGTGTGTGTGTGTGTGTGTGTGTAGCCTTTTCAGTCTGCCAACTTTCACTTAGCATAATGGCTTTTGAACTGATTGATACTGCTGCAAGAATCAATAGTTTGTTACTGTTAATTGTTGAACAATATTCCACCTATAGATGTATAACCAGTCTGCCTTTCCATCCCCCAGATGAAGGGCATTTGGGTGGTTTCCAGTTTGGGGCAAATACAATAAAGCTAGTATAAACCATTTAAGTTCAGGTGTTTGTGTGAACATAGGTTTTCTTGGGTAAATATCTCAAGTAGGATTGATGGATCATGTTTGCTTTCAGGGAACTGACAAAGTGAAAAATAGTTCTAGATTTTGTTTTCTCACCAACATGAAGTCTGTCTGGGAAAAGTCCCACCATTGTTAATATAACAAGAACAGTTTGTATGATAGCAATGTAACCTGGTAGCCAAAGAGAGCGGACTGGAATGCACATGTGTGAACAATGATTTCACTGTAGTAGTCAGTGGGGATGGTAGACACCATTAAGTGAGCATGTGTACTGTGTGGCCATCAAATTCAAAATTATGGCAAATAGAGCAATGAATCTGCATCAAATATTTCATTAAGATGGAACATTCCTCCACAGAAACTATTGGGATGATGCAAAAGGCTGCAGCTATGGGCAACTGATGATTGGCAACTTCATCTCAATGTACCCACTCATGCATTGCAACTTGTGCAGGGGTTGTTTTTTTTTTGGTGAAACATCAAGTCACCAAGGTGACTCAGCCCCCCTACAGCTCAGATTTGGCACCCTGTGACTTCTGGCATTTCCCAAAACTAAAATCACCTTTGAAGTCAAGAGATTGTTGATGAGATTCAGAAAAATATGACACGGCAACTGATGGTGATTGGGAGAACTGTGTGAGATCCCAAGGTGCCTACTTTGAAGGGGACTGAGGCGTCACTGTCCTATGTACAATGTTTTTGTATCTTTTATCTTCTTCAGTTTTTCATATTATGTGGCTGGATACCTTCTGGACAGACCTGTCAATAAGTTTCTTTCTCCACATACATCATCCTCACCAGCAGTCTGTTTTTTTATTTTTTTTCCATTTGATTGTTTGCTTGTTTGGTTATTAGCCATTCTAATAAGTATATTGGGAGTATAGAATTATAGCTTTAATTTCCACTTCCCTAAGGATTATGGTATCAAGCACTTTTTTCATGTGTTTACTTGCCATACATCTGTCTTCTTTAGTGAAATGTCTGTTCAAATCTTTACTCCACTTTTAAATTGGCTTGTTTTATTCAGTTGAGTTTTGAAAATTCTTTATAGATTCTGGATGTAAGTTTTTTGTCACATATGTGCTCTGAAAATAGTCTCTGCCAGTCCGTGGATTATATTTTCATTCTCTTAACAATTTATTTTTTTATTGCAATTACATTCATCATGAAAATTTCTTAATTTTTATTGAACTTATTGGGGTGACATCAGTTAATAAAACTATATAGGTTTCAGGTGTACAACTCTGTAATACATCATCTGTATATTGTACTGTGTTAATTTATTCATTTTTTCTTTTATGGATCATGTTTCTGTTGCTCTTTCAACAACTCTTTCCTTAAACAAAAGTCAAAAGAATTTTGTCATATGTTTTCTTCTAGAAGTCTTACAGTTTTATGGTCTATCATATACTTTGTGTTAAACTATGATGTGTAAGAGTTATAAGGAGGCTTATTTTTTTGAATATGCATCTCCAATTTTGCAGCATCTTTTGTTGAAAAGATTACCCTTTTTATACTGATTGCCATCACACCTTTTTTGTTGTTGTTTTTAAAATCCCTTGACTATATCCCTTTAGATCCGTTTCTGAACTCTATTCTGTTCCAGTGATCTGCATATCTTTCTGCCAATGCCATATACATTTAAATTACTGTGCTCTTAGAGTTAAGCCAGAGAATCATGACTTAGAGTAAGTCATGAATTCTTCAACCATGATCATTTTCATCAAAATTATTTAGCTATTCTAATTCTTTGCTTTTCTATATTAATTTTGGAATCAGACTGTTAACATCTAAAAAAAATCCTACTATGACTTTGATGTAATTGTCCTGAATTTCTGGGTCATGTGGAGGGAATTGACACCTTAATAACACTGTCTTCCAACAAGCAATCCATTAATTCAGGTTTTTTTAAATTTACTGGTAGTTTTTTTGTTTGTTTGTTTTGTTTTGTTTTAGTTTTGAGCAGATTCTGCCCATACTTTGTTATATTTATACTTAAGTATTTTATTTTTGGCACTATTGTAAATGGTACTTTTTAATTAAAAATTGCAATTTCCACATATGCATTGCTAGTGATTAGAGATCTAACTGGTTTTTGCATATTAGCCATGTATCCTGCAACCTTGCTAAACTCACTTAATAATTCCAGGATGGTTTTTGGATTCCTTGCGATATTCTACGTAGATAATCATGTCATCAATAAGTAAAAACAGTATTATTTCTTCCTTTGCAATCTACATTTCTTTTACTTCTTTCTAATGCCTGATTTCACTGGCTATAACTCCCAGTACAATACTG